AAAAGAGATAAATGCTCTCCCACGAAAATATATAATGCCTTATCCATAGAAATAGGACTCAGTCCTGCGACACTTGCCACCTTTTATCGACACCAGAGAGCACCACTAACAACTTCGTTAGATAAAATCAGAGATTGGGTCGAGAGAGAAAACAAGAAAAAAGATAACTCGATTATCATTAGCAATAGCATTAGAAATAATTTCTCGAGTAGCAGTAGTAATAATAACTTTTCGAGTAGTAGCAATATAATTTTAGACGATAATAATGGCAATAACTTAGCTAGTAACACGGAGTAGGGAAAGGAACTCTCATTTTATGGGTTAGGGCTCGAGATGTTCCTCCCTCTTTGTTCCTACTCCACGAATATTTTACAGGCCGGCCTTTACATGTAACGAAATAAAACAGAATGTTAATAAAGTTATATTTTTAAAAAAAATTCGCATACATGCAGTATCATGTGAAATTTTATATTTAATGTGTAGTACCCACCCCTAGGTAGTACGATAAGTTTATCACGCTTTGGTAATTATACATATTCCATGGCATTCGAATTCCTTCTATAGCACATACACGTATTTCGTGTTTAAATAATTGAGAATATTAATTTGATCGTAACTATATAAGGTTTTTTTTTGCTTCTGTCTCAAATTTGACTTAAGAAAGACCGAAAGATAATAAAAATAGTCATGTCCGATGAAATACACGAATACTTTAACCGCAAGTCCTCAGAGTGGAACATTTCTGATTTTTTGGGAGAGTCTAATGAAGAACCTTTTCAACGAAAGATAGATAGGTACATTAAGAGCCTTGATATTATTGTTGATCGCGAAGAAGGCAGGAGGAAGGAAAAGGCGGAATATCTTCTTCAAAGATATAGAGAGGCAAGTAAAACTTATAAATTTATCAAAAGTGGGAGAAATAGTGGCATGCCAGGGACCTGTTTGGTTCTTGTCATTCAAGGCTGTTTGCCGAGCCAAAACCATGTCGGGCACAGGTGACCTGCTCGGTTGTCTGATGCTGAAAGGCTGTTCGCCTATACTTCATGGGTTTCACTGGGGCACAGATAACCTGCTCGGTTGTCTGATGTTTAAAGGCTGTTCGCCGATCTGGTGGGATAGGAAATCAGGATTAAGGTTATGTAAGTTGAAGAAAACTAATTCACAAATTTTTTTTAAGGGTGATCAACCGGATCGTCAAGATGCAAAAAGATGGGAAAATGTGCGAAGGTCGGTTAGATCGGGGTCCACATTCCACTTTCAAAATCCAACATTTAAGGGTGATTCCCTGATGGGAGAAGGAGCTATTAACAATTTTCACCAACCTGAGAAAAGAAGTCAGGAAGAAGATCAGGAAGAGGTACTGATGAACATTTTTTAACTATAAGTCGAGAATAAATCTGCTGAACTGATTATTTGTGTTTAACATTTTAGGATGACCACAAATATCAGGCCAAGAAAACCAGAAGTGGAAGGAATGTTCCAAATTATTGTAAATTTTTTAACGAAGCATCAGTTTCGGATATCAGAGTTAAAGAGAATAAAGAAAGAAAGGCTATTCAAAATAATGTCAGTAATTATTTGATTATACATTTCAAACACGCGTTTTTAACTCTATTATTTTTTTTTAAAGCAACAGCCTGAAAATACGTATGATAAAGAATCGAAATGCGGAAGCACAACTTCACAGTCAGATAATGAAGCTGGTGATCATGAAGAGCATCAAGATTATGAATATTATGACGAGTACCTCGAAGAAGAAATTCCATCTGACATGGTTGGTATACTAACATCTATGTTACTTATGTCTTTTAATGCTCACCTAATATCATCATTTCTTTTAACTAGGCTTCAGCTGATACCATTGGAAGTTGGGTTTTGTCGAGTGGTAAGGATGTTGGCGAAGAATTATCCAAATACCGTGAAAATATTCCACGCACCAAAGCATATCTTTAGTAAGTTACACTTGATTTGTAAGCATAAACATATTTTCCAGTGCCAACTTCCTGACTTTTGATATTGTTATTTATAGTCCGGCTTATTTTGGAATATTGGATCTTTCCGGAGAGGATACAGAAGTAAAGAAATTGTTTACAGATGACGAATGGAATGAGATGATCAAGGATTTTAATAATAATGTAAA